GAAATTCAGGAAAGACAGAAACATTGCTGAAGTTGACAGAATATTGAAAAAATTGGAGAACTGTAGAGATCTACTGTTAATCAATTTCCAGTGATTATCTCCAGATAAATTGAATGAACACAGAAATACTTGAATAATAATAATAATAATAATAATAATAATAATAATAATAATAATAAATAGGCCGGACATTATTGTCAAAAACCAGAAAGAAAAAACTTGCCTACTAATTGATAGGCTTGTCCAGCGGATTGTAACATAAAGCAACCAAGGAATTTGAAAAACTATCAAAATACAAAGACCTGGAAATTGAAATAGAAAAATGTGAAATTGAAAACAAGAAATAATACCAGTGGTAATAGGTGCACTTGGAATTATAAAAATGGAACAAAACAACACATTGAAAGAAATCCTGAAACCCCAGCTTAAGAGAGACATACAGAAAATTGTCTTATTAAGTATAGCACACAATAAGGAGAACTTTTGTCTATGTAACGCTAGCAACTTCATCGGAGATAAAAAAAAAAAAAAAAAAAAAAAAATTAAATTAACATGAAATGTGGGCATAACAACACACCACGACCTGCCTTAGGTCTTTCCGCAGACTTGGTAGGTAGTGTGTCCATAGCAGAAATAATAATAATAATAATAATAATAATAATAATAATAATATTCAAAAAGTTGTCAAAGTACAAGGACCATGAAATAGAAATCATGAAAATGTGGCATATAGGGAACATCAACAATCCCTGTTGTGGTTGGAGCCCCAGGACTGGTTGGAAAAGATTCCAGTAGACTAATTGAAGGGATTCCTGGAAGTCCATGCCTCAAGGAGATACAGAAAATTGTTCTGACAAGTACAGCCCACACCTTACGAAGGGCTTTATCTATGTAATCTTTTTTTTTTTTTTTTTTTTTTTTTGTCAGTAGAAAGTGTCATGACGCCATTTCTAACCTTAGGTCCTGGGCGGGACCCGGAAAGAAATGTGCAAACGCCAGAAATCAAAGAAAATAAAAATAATAATAATAATAATAATAATAATGACGGAGCGTAAGTGTTAGAATTGTGTTTCTAATTGGAATAGCGCCAAAATACTACAGAAGATTCTGTGAAATTTCAGGAAAAGTCGGTTCTGATTAACTCATAGCTGGTGTCACCGGAGATACTGAGGTAAGTGCTGGCGATTTGAGAAACTTACTCTGTCTAAGCCTGCAGCAATAATGATAAGATATGTGAACATTGAAATGCCTGAACAATTAATAATAATAATAATAATAATAATAGGTACCAGGTTTCACAGTGTTAGTCCCCACTGAATATAAAACTCAGCATAACAGAGTGGGCCAATATATGCGCTGGAAAATCTGCAGCTTTTACGGGAAGGAAACATCAAAAAACTGACATGAACATCACCCAGACCCTGTTAAAAACATAGAACCTGTAACAATTTTATGGGATTTTACAATACACACAGATAGAACAATCAAAGCTAATCGGCCATACATCGTGATAAAAGACAACAAGAACAGAATGTACTTTCTTATTGACATAGCAATCCTTGTAACTTTGAAGATATTAAAAAAAAACATAAAACACATGGATCTTGAAATGGAAATCTGAAAAATGTGGCACATGAGGACATCAATAATTCCAGTTGGAGCTGTAGCGCTCGGTTTGATTGGAAAAGCGTCAGATAGACTCATTGAAGGGGTTTCTTGTAATCCATGCCTTTAAGAAATACAAAAAAATAAAAATGTCCTCATAAGTACAGCCGACACATTAGGAAAAGCTTTATCGATGTAAATTGTTTTTTTTTTGTTTTTTTTTTACAAAAATGGTCAGTGGAAAATATGAAGCCATTTCTGACATTAGGTCACTGGTTGGGACCCTGAAGTAAATGTGTAAACAACGTAAAACCAAGGAATAATAATAATAATAATAATAATAATAATAATAATAATAATAATAATAATAATAATGTTGAGAACGCTCACTTGGGGCTGAAACACTGTGAACCTTTCTTCACGACTATTGGGATTCATCATGACCGAGTGTCAAGAAGTTTCATTTTTTTTTAATTTGAAGGATGAGACAGAAAAGGTGACTTGAAATTCACATTTAGATACTTAGGAACACCATCAGTCGGAAACAGACTAAGTGGACAGGA